ACTATATTAGTTTACTAACAGAGTACTATATTAGTTTACTAACAGAGTACTATATTAGTTTACTAACAGAGTACTATATTAGTTTACTAACAGAGAGGCACTTTATGTACAAATACTATAAAATATAAATAGTGGTGAAAACAGTCTGTGCTTTTTCAGCCGACACTTTATTCTAATCTAATTTAATCCTGATGTTAATCTGTCACGTCTGCAGCAGAGCAGATGTGCTGCGACTCTTCCCCGAGGCGAAAACACACAGCCGAACGGTGACGCTAACAGCCGAGAAGTGCCTGTTAGCCGGGTTTGTCTGAGCAGAACCAGAACACCTTGATGACCCAACAGAAACTAACCAAACTAACAGCTAAACAAACAGCTAAACTTAAAGCTAAACTAACAGCTAAACTTCAGCTACAACTGACAGCTAAACAAACAGATAAACTAACAGCTAAACAGATAAAATTATAGCTAAACTAACAGCTAAACTAACAGTGAAACAGTTAAACAGCTAAACTAAAAGCTAAACAGCTAAACTTCAGCTATATCTAACAGTTAAACAAACATCTAAAAAAGTTTTTTCAGATCTTCAGAACAGCTAAAACTTTTCTTATAAAAAGATTAAAAATCTTTGGTCTCTGAAGCTTCATGCTGTAGCTCATCAGCTGTGAGTCGACTCTGAAGCTTAATGAACTTCCTGTCGTTACTTTCAATCCCCTCCGCAGGACAATTAAGGCTGTTTCCTTTCTATTCTATTCTATTCTATTCTATTCTATTCTATTCTATTCTATTCTATTCTATTCTATTCTATTTGTCCAGTGGTTCATGAGATATTTTGCTAACAGGCATAAAAACAAGCCCACTTTTTGTTAAAAAATTTGACAGAAAACTTTCTGTCAGAAGAGATGAAAAAATAAAAACCATTTTATTTCTCTGAACTCTTCTGTTAAACTCAGGACCACCGGCGCCCCCTGCTGGTCAAAAAAATCCCTTCAAATCTTCCTCTGCGTTTCTGTCTGCTGACCTGAGGCTGAAGCAAAGCATGCTGGGATGTGAGGAGACCAGACGGTGCTGTAGATGACCCCCTGGTGACCCGTGAGCGTGGTCAGCGAGGGGCTGAGGGTCTGGTCCCACTGCAGAGGAGAAAAACAGAAACGTTTCTTCACGAGAGGAAACAGAGAAAAGAAGCCGAACTTGCAGCTGCGCCCTCGCACCACTTTAGCTGTTTGGTCCCACGAGCCGGAGACCACCAGGTTCTCCCCTCTGGTCTGGCTCCAGTCCACAGAGTACACCTCCTGCTGGTGTTCTTTGGCCACTCTCAGCGGAGCCAGCTGATTGGTCGTGTCCCACAGCTGCAGGCTGCCGTCGCCGCCCGCTGCCACCAAGACGTGCTCGTTGGCCTCGCTCCACGCCACGTCGAACAGCCCGTCCCCCCAGTCCCAGCTGAGACGGACGGATTACAGGTCCGGTTTTAACCGGGTCTGAGGTGACTCTGAGCTTTGTGTTGTGAAGCTTTTACCTCCTCACCAACGTCACTCCTGCCTCAGTCTGATCCAGAACCAACAGCGATCCAGAACCTGTTCCAACACAAGAGTCTTTATGAAGCGGACCTGAAACAGGACAGAACCTTCAAGTGTATCTTACCCCCCTGTGAAAAGATAACTCCGCCCCAAGGCGAAATTTGAAAAATGCATCAAAGTGGGTAGGGGAAGGGGGTGTTAGAGAGCGGAGGTGTGGCCAGGACGAGAGAACGTGACAG